AGAAACATAAGCAGGAAACCCAATCTGAAAAACACACTGCAGTAAAAGAATTTCTAACCGCTTCTAAGGAAGATATTGATTAAAAAATAGAGGAGATTAGAAAAATGATGGATTCCTTGAATGAACAATACAGGAAAGAAATAGATCGCATGAAGCAGGGTCAAAGAGATATAGAGGAAATCAAACTCTCAATCACAAGCTTGCAAAACCGTTTAAGTGAATGTGAAAACAGAGTTTTGGGTCTTGAAGATGCTGGTGCAGCAAGTGAAAAGGTAAGAAAGGATCTCTTAAAAACAACGAGGATGCAGGAAAGAATAATTCATCACCTGCAAGATGATGCAAAGATGAACAATCACTACAAACAAGTCCGATCTACGTAGTGAGACCTTGTAGACCTTGTCTTAAATACACTAAAAAAAAAAAAAAAAAAAAAAAGAAACAAACAAAGAGCGAACGAACAAACATAGTCACCAGTCTGTAAGAATGTGAGGTGATAATGGGAAAGGAAAATTATTCCTTTTCTGGATTCAAACAAACTGTAAAGTTAGTTTACATTTCCTCCTTAAACACTACAAACCTGCCTCTATTCTGCTAGTTCGTTTGCTTGTTTGCTTGCTTGCCTTCCTGTCTCCCTCTCTCCCTCTCTTCTTCCTTCCCTCCCTCCCTTTCTTTCTTCCTTCCATCCTTTCTTTCTTCCTTCTAGGGGTCCTGCCCATTAGCTCAGGTGTTTAAGTGCCTGCTGAAACAAAGCAGTCAGGCTCAGGATGCTGTGGTTCGATCCCCTCATCCTCAAGCCAAATCAGACCTGCCCTGAAGGCAACCTGAGTGACCCCCCCCCAAAAAAAATCCTTTCTTCCTTTCATTTTTTCCTCTTTCCGCTTTCTCTTTCTTTTCTTTTCTTTTCTTTTCTTTTCTTCTTTCTTTCTTTCTTTCTTTCTTTCTTTCTTTCTGAGACAGTTTCTCATTATGTAGTTCAGATTGGCCTTGAACTCACTATGCAGCCCAGACAGGTCTCTGAACTCCTGGCAATCTTCCTGCATCTACTTGCCAAGTACTGGGATCACAGATGTGTGTCACCACACCTGGCTTTCTGCTAGTAGTTTCTAGAGACAGCAAAAGGTAGCCAATAGATGAGATTAGCTAGTGTCTCATCAGTGCCAGAGTTGAACCTGTTTTTCTCTTCCCTCATAAGACACAGGATCATAGCCAGAGATGTAGCACCTGGCTTCCTGGTGAGTCACTGGGCATAGTAGTTTTAGCCCATCTGATCCCCTCTCCCAATCTGTTCTTCCTCTGACCTTGGCTTGGAGTGTTGTTTACAAATTAGAGAGAAGCTTACGGTAAGGTGATCTGATAGCATACAGAATAAAACAGAGACCCCTGACATGCATAGGATCAGAGCCTACAGTGAAGGAAAAGCCACATGCCCAAAGACCCAAAAAACAGGCTGGCAAGAGAGATTGAGAAGTTTGCTGAGAAGCTTGTGGGGCTGTCCAAGAAGGCTTCTAGTTTTCTTCTGCCTTTTGCATGGGATTCCTAAATCTTGGAACCCCTGTGGGTGGTTTGAGACCCTGTTTTCTTTTGTAATAATGTAATAACTGATAAGGTTGGGGCAGGATTAGCTTGTATTTTTTTAGATGTTTGCTGTAGGACCTTATCTTGCCTTTGAACTGAAAAGGTGAAATAATGGCAGAAAACTCCCCAAATATAGGGAAAGAAATAAGCATACAGATAAGTGAGGCATACAGAACCCTTAATAGCCATAATTAAAAGAAAACCCTTCCATGCCACATTATGCTGCAAGACTAAAAGTTCTTCACAGGAACAAACTTAAAAGCTGTTGGGGAAAGGCAGCAAATCACATATAATGGTAAACCCGTTAGAATTATAGCAGACTTAACACAAACCTTAAAGGCCAGGAGACCTTAGAGTGAAGTGTTTCAAGCCTTAAATGACAATTTCTGATCCCTGTTTACGTATCCTGCAAAACTTTCCTTTGCACACACCTGTAATCCCAGTACTTGGGAGTCTGAGGCAGGAGGATCCTTGAGTTCGAGACCTTCTGGGCTACAGAGTAAGCTTAAGGCCAGCCTGGACTGTGCAGTGAGATGTCTCAAAAAGGAAAAAAAAAATCAATGAATAAATAGAAATAATAAAGTATTTCCATGACAAGGCAAAGAACACCTCAAGAAATCTATAACCACCAAACTAACATTACAAAAATTCTCAGGGATATCCTAGGGAGGGACAGTGGAGCCAACAAAACCAAGTACTCCCAAAGAATTAAGACCTGGCAAGATGAGTAGCTACACAAAAGGGGGGAAATTTAGTAAGAATAGAATAATGACAGGAATACGTCAGAGTACCTGTCAGTAATGCTGTCAATATAAATGGTCTCAAGTCCCAATCAAAGACACAGATGGGCCAAATGGATGAAGACAAACCCAGCAGTAACAACAAACACATTTAATTAAAAAAAAATTCATAGATTAAAAGTTAAACTGAAAGGGGCTGGGGAGATAGCTCAGTATAATAAGTGCCTGGCAAGCACAAGGTCCTGAGTTCGATTCCTGGTACCACTAAAAAAAAAAAAGAAGAAGTCAAACTGGAAAGCAATAGTCCACACCACAGGAACCTGTGAAAAAGCAGGAGTAGCTATTCTAACTTCAGACAAAGTGAATTTCAAGCCAAAACTGATCAGAAGAGACAAACAAGGTCACTACATGGTAGTGAAGGGAACAGTTGAACCGGAAGAGATAACAACTGTAAACATACATGTGCCAAATACTATACACCTAACTTCATAACACAAACACTAATAGATACAAAAGCCAGATAAACACCCAATATAATTGTAGTGGGGGACCTCAGTATCCTACTGTCACCAATGGTTTTCTTTTTCTTTTCTTTTCTTTTTTTTTTTTGGAACTGGGGATTGGACTCAGGTCCCTGCGCTGGGCCATCTCTCCAAATGGACAGAGCAGTTACACAAAAAAATCAACAAAGAAATAATCAGAATTGAACAAAACCATCAAACAAATAGACCTAATAGATATCTACAGAGTGTTCCATCCAACAATAGAATATACTTTCTTCTCAGAAGCACGTGGGACTTTCTCCAAAATAGATAATATAATATCCTGTAAAGCAGGATTAGGCTGGGCGAGGTGGTGCATGCTTGTAGTCCCACCACTTGGGAGGCCAAGGCAGGAGGCTTGCCATGAGTTGGAGGCTAGGCTGAAGTACACAGTGAGTTCAAGACCAGCCTGAACTAAAAGTGAAAACATGCTAAATACAAAAGCATTAGAATTATCCCATGCATATTGTCAGATCTGGTGTGCAGTCAAACTAGAAATCAGTGGTAAAGGAAATTAGAGAAGCTATGCAAACAGGGAAATTAATACCCTCTTGAATAATCCATGGGTCATAGATGAAATTAAGGAGTAAATTAGATATTCCTATGATCAGTAACTTAGTGAAACCCATGGGACACAATGAAAGCAGTCTAAAAGAGAAGTTTATAGTGGTGAATTCCCATATCAGAAAACTTACTGAGCTCAAATAATCTAATGATGCACCCACCTCTCAAGATCCTAGAGAAAATAAAATTTAAAAAAAAAAGGGGGGGCTGGTGAGATGGCTCAGTGGTCTAAAGCACCTATTTAGAACAAGCTTAGGGGCTGGAGAGATGGCTCAGTGGTCTAAAAGCATCTACTTGGAACAAGCTCAGCAAAGCACAGGGACCGCGGTTCGATCCTCCAGCACCACATGCCAGCCAGCCGCGCCCCCTGGTGGGCTGAGCTG